CTCTAAGATCAACTCCAACGCCTCTTCTATATGCTTTACTATAGAAGATTCAACTGATTCCATTTATAAATAACATCTCCAACGGGCCTTTCATATAATAGATGATGAGCTAAGATGAAAGTCACAAGGGCTTTATTTAGCAAATAACTATTGATGAGCTAAATCTTTAAATAATGAGTAAAATATTAAGAAAAGTGAGGAGAGAAGAGAGAATTGAAAAAATAAAACAAATGAGAGGAAGAGATTTGAGTCATCACAGTATAAAGTAAGGATATAATAAAAAATATATTATAACTTTAAAATTAAGACTACATGGTTGGGGTTGACGAGGAAAAGTGAGCATTTAAAGAACTGTTTAAACATCTAATAGTGTTTATATCCGATAAATTATAACATCTCACGTTGGAGATGCTCTTAAAAGGTGAAAAATTTATATTTCAGATTAGGAATTATTTTAAGAAAAAATGTGGTAACCGGAAAGATGGGGATGATGATTACCATATAGAGCTTGACATGTTGCACTTTTTCAGGTAAAAACTTCTTTATTACTTTATATTCCTTTTTTATTTGTAATTATCATTAACTACATTCATATAAAAACTAACGACTATTCACGTAAAGACAAATTAGTTTGAATCTAAGTTCAGTGTACATGGCAAAGAGATGCTATGGTAGTATGAAGGATGGGATATTCATCAAAGGGAATGTTCTGGAGATGCATTCTCCTAAGGCTACGGCCTTTGACAAAGCTTCAATAGCAAAAGATCTTGAGGATTTCAAGTTTGTTCTAGATGATATACTCCACACTACCCTACTCGTTGATGTTTGGAGACGGAAGGGATTCGAGGATCTTTCAAAAAAGCTTGGCAAAATTCTTCGAGTATATGAACGAAGATTAGGGGAATGGTGTCAAATTTTGGTTTTTAGTTTTTTTTTTATATAGCACTTCACATCCAACAAGTGTGTTACTTATTACGGGGGTATAATTTCAAAAATACAGTTGTGAAGACTTTGCTGCAGAATTTCTTTGGACTTTGGACACCGCTCTTCTACGCTCAACAGTGGAGAATCTTGAGTTGATCGAGAAGATGTATTCATATTTGTATAAAGCTTCCATAATCTCAAGATCAGATTTAGCCGAGACTACATGGGGGGTTAGAGGAAAAAAGAAAATGAGTAAAGCCCTTCATAATTGGAATTTTAATGCGGGTAAAAATTTTGGCCCGTTCAAAAAAATGATGGAGATTGTTTTCCAAGACCAAATGAATGAGCAAAAAAGTCACAAAAGTAATGCCAATGGTGTAAGGAAGAGCAATTATAAACCTCTTGATATCATTTTCTTCTTAAGGAATGCCGTTGAGAATCACCGCTTCGATGAGGTATTTAATTCAGAATATCATAAAATATACTTCTTGTATCTTATACAGTATAATATTAATTGTTCATTTTGTTTAGGGTTTTAGGGGTGCATGTGACTTGTATCACTCATTTGAGAGATATATATGCACCCTTCGCTATGAGGGCGAGACATGTTTTTATTGCGTGGTAGAGGAGATCCGAGACGCTTTCAAGCATCACATTCAAAACTTAGAATGGATGTCAAGGTATAGTAACTTTATTACTCCGTATTATTATTATTATTATTGCTATTATTATTATTATTTTCCGGTGCATAGTAACTTTATCATCATTATTTTGTTATTATTATTATTATTATTATTATTATTATTATTATATGCATCTATTACAGAGTAATATATAAAAAAATTCATATGGAGTTTAATTATTGCATAGATCATCACTGGTAGACATAAAAATAAATTCACACATATGAAAGGGATTCATTACGGAGAAATCATTTTTTATTTATTCCTCACAAACTTCTTACAGAGTATGCACAAAAAGAAATCTTACTGTTAATATACATATACATGCTACTCTTTCCATTCCAGATTAAATAATCATTATGATTTAATTGATACATCAAAAAATAAATAATTAAAGATATAAAGTATACTTACATTCATTTATGTTTCATTATGTATTTTAAGGAAGTCATAACCGGACAATTAATATAAAACTGAGGAAGTATATGTGAGTTGGTCATGTAATCTGACATACTTATAATAGCTATTATAATACTCCGTCTCTATGAGACAGAGTAATTATTGACACAACACATCACTAAACACATCTCATGTCCAATAACTAAGATAACATTTACATATGGCCATTAATCTACTTCTATATTATATATAGTCAAAGTGTTTTAGCTGGATAAGACCAATGATGAAGCTTGATTTATCTGACTACAGGTACTAACAACCAATATATATTACTACTAACTTGATTTTTAACATTTGTAGGGAAGAAAAAAACACTTTGCTTGATTACCTCCACAGCTCAAGGAGGGACGACAGCGAGTAAATAGTTTACGAGAAAGTTTTCCTTTGAAAATAAAGAAAATAAAAATAAAAAACTCGTATTGAAGTGTACTCTCGTTCTTGTAGGTTGGTGAGATGATAACCCGTATGATGGCCATATAGGTATTTATTTAAACTGTACTCGGTATATCGGTTAGACATTTATATTAAAAAAAATGATACTCGAGTAAATTTGATTTGTTTTCTCCTCGAGGATATGATAATACTCTCTACATGTTTCCGAATTCGAACAGGCAGGTTTGGAGGCAAAGGCGCATGCCCCGAGGAGTTCATTCTCGTTCGATGAGTAAGTAATACAAAGTATTACTACTTTTTATTTTCTTCTCACTATGAAGTTAGAGAAAAATAGAGACAGCACTCCATCTCCAAGGTAGGAAGTTATGTATTTTACGTTGGCCTATTTTTCTCGGGCAGAGCGTACGTAGGTACAACAAGCACGTACATGCACAGCGGGAGAGGAAGAGGGAAAAGGAAAGAGCCTCTCTCATTAGTAGTTTTTTTTTACAGTGTAGTTTTCTATATTTGGCAGATTACATTAATGCCCCCCTCCTCCATTGAATACACTATTTTAATACCCCCTGTTTGAAATTAGGAGGCTGATCATTGTTGTCCCTTCACGAAGCTAATACTCTGTAATTGTTCCAGGCCTGCTAATTAATACTCTGTATGGCTCTGTCTTTATTGATGTTTTTTTTTGACAAGTTTATTAATGTTTCCAATTTTTTAGTGCTTAGACCAATAATTATTTGATTTAATTCATTGTGATTTATGGGTCCTTATTCTCTACGTATATCTACTGGCTCTCATCATATGTTTTCTTACTATTGTGGATGGGTATTCTAGTGTTGTTTGGGTTTTTTCTGATTATTGACAAAAGTAAAGTCACAAGTTGTTTAAAGCAATTCCTTTCCTTGATTCAAACTTAGTTTGGGAAAATTATTAAAGTTGTGCATTTTGATAATCGTACTGAGTTCTGAATAAACCATTGCGTCAATTTTACACTACCATGGGGGTTCTAGTTCAAATTTCCTATGTAATATGACGATGTTTGCGATCAACGTGACCCCACAACAAAATGGTCACGTTGATCGCAAACATCACCATATTCTTAATGTTGCATGTTCTTTAATGGTAAACATTCTACCCTTTATACAATTCAATTATAGAATAATTTGTTATTACGTCTTAAATTTCATATTCTATGTATATTATCTTTAATTTTTCAAAAGAATTTAGTATACTTTCTATTGTTCCATGTTATGGATGTAGAAATTATTGTATATTTTTATATGAAAACATAGAATGACCATGTACAATTCTTTATTAAATTTGTTTATAATGCATAGGTTTTTTATTTTTTAATATTAAAACTCAACAAATTTAAAATTGTAGAAAAATATATTTGCGAACAACGGACGTCCATCCGAGACTAATTGAGAGATAAACGTACTAGTTTTCGAACTTGCCGAACATCGTTGTGATAATTGTTCATGTATGCTTGATTTGGTCCTTTTTTTCGGTTTGGTCCATTTACATCCCTAATGCGGAATATGCCCACAAAACATGCGCAAATTATATCGTACATTCGGTTGTACCTAATTTTCGGTACAACCGGCTAATTGAGGAAGGAATGAGATGGAACGGAAGCCGCCGGAATTAGTGCCGCTCCTCTATTTGTCGGGTCGGGCCCCCGGAGAAGAAAGACGGAAGGTGGCGGCGGTGATGACGAGGAGCAGCGGAGACAGAAGACGGTGGAGCAGCAAAGATGACGAAGAGCGATGGTGGCGAAAATCCAGAGAAAACGATGGAGAAGGATGGTGGCGGCGGCGTTACAGTTGGTCGGGTCGCATAGATCGAAAGAAAGCCGGTAGATGGAGGAGAGGCTGGGATGAAACCCTAGTTGAAGAGAAAAAGGTTATTCATGGTATGTATTTTATTTTATTTTAGAATGAGCATTAAGTTATTTGAGAATGAGTACTATTTTTATTCAGAATGAATACTACTCCGTACGTTATTTGTGAATAAATATTATAACTGTGTTGAATAAATGTGTGAATATGAGCACTACATTATTTTAGAATGAGTACCACATTTTCAAAATGAATAGTTATGTTTGTACGAGAATGAGTACTACTTTACTTCACAATAAGTACTACCCGGATGTACCTATCTCTATGTACATCCGGTTGTATCATATACCTTCTCTAAAACATGGGTAAGGCGTAAAGACATAGCGATGAATTTGTTTTTATTTCATTAAGTCCCAAAAATATGGATAAAAAAAGGGTCAAAAGAAATCGATACAATGGCCTGAAAAGATGGCTTACAAGTTCTCCTTTGATACTCCAAGGTAAAGAGTTCAAACCTCATCTTTGCTTATCATTAGTCGTCCACTTTATTTTACACTTGATGTTCCTAATTCAAATCAGAATTTAAACTTGATCTTCTAATTTTAGTACTTCCTCTGTCCCATTTTAAATTGATTGTTCTTCGTTTTTTCTCCGTCCCAAAATAAATTGTCCGTTTCTTGTTATCGTAAACTTTTAAGAGTAAAATATCTAACCTAACCCTAAAATAAGTCACTCTTTTCCACATTATCTTCTTATTCATCGTCATCCTCTTAAAAAGTAATGGCAATTTCGGAAAATCAACTCTATTTTTTCTCTTCCTTAAATATTACCCAAAGTCAAAACGTACGATTTAAAACGGGATGGAGGGAGTAAGATTCTACACTTGACCTTTCAATTTCAAAACAAAGTTTACATTTGATCTTCTTAATTTAAAAAATGATTCTAGATATCATCTTCTAAATTAAAAAAAAATCTACACTTGACCTTCCAAATTCAAAACAGATTCCACAATTCATCTTCTTAATTCAAACCAGATTCTACGTTCAATCTTCTTAATTTTAATAAAGATTCTACACTTGACCTTCCAATTTTAAAAGAGATTCTACACTTCCTTACAAGCTAAAAATATATCAGAAGGCGTTATACGAAAATTTGCCATGACTAGGTGCATTTATATGGTGACTACAGTTCACCTTTCAAGCCAAAAATGTCCTAAGGAATTATACCCTATAAAAAATATGCCATGACTAAGTGCATTTCTATGGTGATTATACTTCACCTTACAGCCAAATTGCCTTTTGCTTTTAAAATAAAATAAATTGACTAAGGCTCTGTTCCATTCAACTTATTTTTCAGATCTGATCTGATTTTGATAAGTTCTGATCTAATTGAATCTGATCTGATTTTGATAAGTTCTGATATGATTGGATCTCTGATTTGATCTGATTAGATCTGAGTAATTATGATTTGATCTAAAATTCAAATCAATAATTTGATTTGACCTTGTTATAACGTTCGAAAATTATAATGATAATTCATATTATAATATAATCAATGTTTTATTTTATGATTGTTTTTTTAATAAATTAAAATTAGTTAATTCATATATTAGAATAATCATTCATATTATAATGTAATACTCCCTCCGTCCCATTTTATAACGCCTGTTTCGGTTTACGATGTTTAACTGAAATTATTTTCAAATTATTTTATATGAAAAATGGTATAGAATTAAAAAATAAAAATTACATATCAAAATACTACACCAAAAGATCTACAAAACTAGTAGTGACAACAATATTTTATTTTATCAATTTGCTAACGAAAATAGAGAAAGAAAGTGAATGAAATTTGACCCTGTGAATAGTAAACAGGCATTATAATTTAGGACGGAGGGAGTAATATTTTTATTTTATGATTATTTTTTTGTAAAATTAGAATATTAATTTAATATTTTAATAATTACTTCATATATACATTAGAATAAATATTTAATTTATACATACATTAAAAAATAATTAAATTTAGATAATCAATGTATAAAAAAGATAGTATTTTTATTAAAATATTTCATCCTTATAAAAGATTAAAACTTTAAAAACTCAAATTACAAGTAGCAACAAAAATGTATTTAAAAAGTAGAATTAAATTGACATTGTCAATGTATTTTAAAAATAATTTTTCCGACGTCTAATAATTAAGGATTACTTTCTCAGTTTTTTTATTTAACTTGTTTCTAAAGTTTATTCTTTTTCATTTTTAAGAATAATAATAATAATGATGATAATAATAATAATAATAGTAATAATAATAATAATAATAATAATAATTCTTGATGGGATTTTTGATCTGATCTCGTCTAATCTAATTGGATCTGATCTGATTTGATCTGATTGGATCTGATCTAATTCAATCTTATCTAGTCTGATATGATTTTAATAAAAATAAGAAAAAATAAGTTGAACAAAACGGGACCTAAGTATTATTCCACTTCCTAATTTTTATTCTATACTTTCACATCTATTGGATCATATTTGTAAATCCTTAGAATGCTATTCACACCTCAATTAGAGTTAGTGTCTGCCTAAACTTTCACATGATATTGGCAAGTGTATATTGGGGAGCTCCCTATTGAATTACCTCATTCATACTAACCGTGTTAGAGTATATACTTTTCGGCAATGAATTTAAGAAAGAAGTGCTCCCATCCACTCACCTTTGTTCAAATGAGAATTGGATACTCTCACTTTACAAGAATGAAAGGTTTTCTTTTTCATTTGATGATATTCCCATTAGAAATTGTGTAAAGTAACTTATACATACAAAACTCTAACTCCATTCTACTCCACCCAAAACTTCGTAACACTTTTTAACTTCCTTTATGTTTAGACCCCGTTCAAAGATCTTCCGGTGGCACTCTCTCCTTGGAGAACACAAGTTTCTACGGCCTCTTTGCATTCCTTGGAAAACTTTGAAAACTATGTTGCACCATCCATATTTGAGCAATGCAAAGAAGCCGTAGAAACTTTTGTTCTCCAAGGAGAGAGTGCCACCGGAAGATCTTTGAATTGGGTCTAAACATAAAGTTAAAAAGTGAAATGAAGTTTTGAGTGGAGTAGAATCGAGGTAGAGTTTCGTATGTACTCCCTCCGTCCAAAAAAAAAAACAGTAGCCCACAGCGCTATCAAAACTTTCGTGGTTTGTGCCCACACCGCTATCAAAACTTTCGTGGTTTGTTTGTTAACAGCATTCAACATGTACATGTTAAAATCCAGCTTACTACCAGTAGTATTATGAACATTCACCTAAACAGCAATCCTAGCCCAAACAAATGATCAGAAACTCTTTTCTTTTTTAGTTTCTTATCTTTTTTGAACAAATTAATCAGAATCTTCTTCCTCTTGATCACATAAAACACATACCAGGTCTTTATTCAAGAACATACTCACCCTTCTCTTTGTTTGTAATGCACCTTTCAAACACATGAGTACATTATGAACCATCTCCCTTATACAAAGCTCCTTGATTTAGGTTATTGATACTGGGCAAGACTTTCTCCATCCTAGTGCAAAAAGGCTTAGATATTACTTTGTGTTGATATTGCATGGTTACATGTAGGAAACCGCTTGTGTTGAGAAGACACTATATTAATCTAGAAGGGCATTGTTTATGCTTTGCACTGCATCTCCCCTCATGATGACCAACAAAGAGGCATTCACACTAATTATAAGCATGAAAACATTGTTGGAGATGAGATAAAAAAGAAGAGGAAAAACAAGTAATTATATCTATTAAATTCATTATTTATGCCATTATTTACAATTTTATAAAATGCAAGACACCAAAGCAATTCTCATTGACTTTGGCCATGCGGATTTCGAAGGGGATGTAAACGATGTGTGGCCAAACTAGTTTGGACGGCCTCCATACGGTTAGTATCGCTTTATTTATATTATTATTAATAAAATAGCATATGGAGTAATTATGTCTTGGTGTTTTTCTTGTATAGACAAATTTCTTAACCCTAGATTACACAACCAATTTAAATTAATGAACCGAAGAAACCATCTGTATGCATTAGGCATAAGTATGTTTCTGATGACAACAACTCTTGAGGAAGAGGATTCTGATCACTTCGTTCAAAGAGATAAGAAACTAAAAAAGAAAAGAGAAAAGAGATTCTAATCACTTGTTTGGGCTAGGATTGCTGTTTGGGTGAATGTTTATAATACTACTAATAGTATGTAGGATTTTAACATTTACATGCGGAAAACTGTTAACAAACCAGGACTGAGAGAAGAGAGAGGGAGGCTGCTGAAATGGATAGGGGTTGGGGAGGTGCTGTGGGATGGATGGGTTAGTGTGCCAATGGGGCTGGTGACCGGCGAATCGCCGGGGGTTTAAGTCGGCAGTAGAGGGGGGTTAGTTGGGCTAGACGTGGGTGTTCTGATAGGGTGGTGCGGCTGGGAACATCCCATCGAAACCCCATTGGGGGGTGCACGCTAGGGTGACGGCCATCACAAGATGAGGAGATATTTTTTATTAATTTTTTATCAATCAAATTGATTTATACAATCACAATTATTTCATCACTTACTTTCACACCTTGCATTTTTTACGCCAAATAATGTAAAAAAACACACTTACATTTTAACAGTTCAAAGTGTTACAAAATGCTAGTGCGATTAAAAAATTACACTACCATTTTATTCATATATGAACCATCAACTCAATATCAAACTTGCACAAAATAAGAGCATCTAATTTAGAGTACAGATAACTTAGCTGGTGTTTCTACGGTTATAAGTTAGTCAAAACTGCTTATAAGTAGTTTTTTTATTTATAGGTCAACTGATGATATATAATTATGTATACTTATAAGCTGACTTATAAACGACTTAAAGGTTAAAAAAGTAAGTCTTAGCTATTTATTTTTAAGATATTTTTTTTGTTTTTCCATCTTGAGCTCTTGGAGAGTACTTATAAAAATGATTTATCCTTAACGAAAAGAAACACCCCCATGATCCTTTTTTGTTTTTAAAAAAATTAGATTTACATTACCGCCCCATACCACATAACATTGCGTGATAGCCCTAATCATTTTCTATAATTTTACTCATCAGTTCTTACATTTATTGTTGGAGTCAATTTTTGGATACTACCACTAACGTAAGTATTTGGACTAGCTCACTCGCTTAAAACCCGACCTTTCTAAATTGAGTAGCACTTCTCTAAGCTCTTTCTTCCCCTGTCACCAACATGAACGTTTTCCCACCTTTGACCCCACCGAATCCTCCGCCTACAGCACAGCCCCCACAAGTCCACCACGGTCCCCTCATGCAAGCACAACTCACCACAGGCCCCTGCAGTCCCACCACCACCGGCACTCGTTCCACCGCCCCCACATGATTCTCAGTATGGATTTCTTTTCTCCTTAGATCTTTTTTTTCTTTTATTTTCTTTCTTGGGGGATTTTGAAAGAAAACATATATTTTTTACCATTTCAAAAAGACATATTTTTTTAATTTTACCATGCTTGTGGTCAAGTAGATAAATTGGTATTGTTCATAGTTTTCTATTCTATATTAACTAGTTATTTAAATATTGAATGTTGGAAGAAGTTATCCTTTTGGGCGATGACGCCAACAAAGAAGGTGACCTTCCCTCGTTATATCTCTAATCGTATGAAATTTGGATATTTAAATAATACACAAATGTAAGCTTCAATTTATCATTCGAGACTAGTGGTGATAATAACCAATGTAAGTGCGAGTAATCCATACACACATAACTCTCTATCCATTTCAATCAAAGTTTAGCTTAATTATTTCATAATTAAATTTTCTCTATATTTAGAACCTCAGCTTAGATCTTCTAGTGCAGTTATCTGCTTGAAGAACTTGAACCCTCCTACACGCACAGAGATAGAGAGAGAAAATAAGTAAAAATCAGAAATATTTAGATTTTATTTATTAAAGTATTTTGTGAATATCACCTCATTATTATATGCATACTTTGAAAAAAGAGAATAATCTCTCAATGCGTTGGACAAAATTTTCAGTACTTCATCAAAATCCTATAAAAGCCAAGTATAAGAACATCATTAATAACCATCAATAAACACTCGAATTGATAAGTTTACGGCTAATGACATTAAAGTTAAATATGAAAATATTGTCACCTCACAACTCTTGGCTGATACATGATTTTGGTATAATAATCTTAAATAACAAACAATGATGTCTATAGTCCCTTCGCAAAGATATCTAGATGCAGATAAATCCGCTCTCAAGTTCTCCAGCGTGATAACTTCACCACAAGATTTAAGCCGAAAGTCTAAAAAAACTTTAAATATAAAATAATTAAGTTAAGCTTTGATTGAAATAGAAATGAATGTAGAGTTTTGTGTGTGTGGATTAAATCCACACAAAACTCTATATCCATTTCTATTTCAATCAAAGCTTAGTTTAATTATTTCATATTTAAATTTTCTTTACTTTTAGACTCAACTTAAATCTTGTGGTGAAGTAATCACGCTCGAGAACTTGGGAGCGGATTTATTGCATCTAAATATCTTTGCGAAGGGACTATAGACACTATTATTTGTTACTTAAGGTTATTATACCAAAATCATGTACCAGCCAATTAGTTGTGAGGTGATGATATTTGCATATTCAATTTTAATGTCATTGGCCGTAAACTTATCAATTCGAGTATTTATTGATGGTTATTAATGATGTTCTTATACTTGGCTTTTATAGGATTATGATGAAGTACTGAAAATTTTGTCCAACGCATTGAGAAATTATTCTCTTTTTTCAAAATATGCATATAATAATGAGGTGATATTCACAAAATACCTAAATAAATAAAATCTAAATATTTCTGATTTTTACTTATTTTCTCTCTTTATCTCTATGCATGAAGAGGGTTTAAGTTCTCCAAGCAGATAACTGCACTAGAAGATCTAAGCCGAGGGTCTAAATATAGAGAAAATTTAATTATGAAATAGTTAAGCTAAACTTTGATTGAAATAGAAATGGATAGAACGCTATGTGTGTATGGATTATTTGCACTTACATTGGTTATTATCACCACTAATCACGAATGATAAATTAAAGCTCGCATTTTTGTGCTAATTAAATATCTAAATTTCTGGCGATTGGGGATCTAACTAGGAGAGGTCACCTTGTTTGTTGGTGTCATCGCCCAAAAGGATAACTTTCTCTAATTTTCAATATTTAAACAATTAGTTAATATAGAACAGAAAATTATGAACAATACCAATTTATCTACTCGACCACAAGCATGGTAAAATTAAAAAAAATATGTTTTTCTTGAAACAATAAAAATATGTTATGCTTTCATTCAAGCCCCCAAAAAAGAAAATAAAAAAATAAAAGAAAAAAAGAGCTAAAGAGAAAAGAAATCCATACTGATGACCTGATGGCAACGGTGGAACGAGTGTCAGGAGTGGTGGGAACGCAAGCCTGTGATGGACCTATGGGGGCTGTGGGCAGGCCTGTGGTGAACCTGCGGGAAGGCTGTCTTGCAGCCAAAGGATCCGGTGGGGAAAGAAGCAAGGGAACATTCATGTTGGTGACGAAGGAAAAAAGAGCTTAGAGATGTGATACTTAGTTTAGAAAGGTAAAATTTTAGGCGAGTGAGCAAATCCAAGAAATTACGTTAATGGTAGTATCCAAAAGTTGACTCCAGCTATCTAGCATTAGATGTACGAACTCATTAGTAAAATTATGAAAAATGATATGTCTATCAGGTGATGTGATGTGGTATGGGGCATGTAAGATAAATCTAATTTTTAAAAAAAATAAAAAAAAAAGGAACATGGGGGGTGTTTCTTTCTATTACGATAAGAAAGTACTAACAGCTCAAGATGGAGAAATGAAAAAATTATTTTAAAGATAAATAGCTAAGACCTACTCTTTTACCTATAACTCGCTTACAAGTCAGCTAAGAAGTATACATAAACATATATCATCAGCTGACTTATAAATTAAAAAACTTCTTATAAGCAGTTTTGACCAACTAATAACCATGACCAACTAATAACCACATAGAAACACCAACTACGTAATTTGTACTCCAAATTAGACACTTTCATTTTGTGTCATTGTGATGCTGAGGTGATGGTTCATAGATGAATAAAATGGTAGTGCAAAATTTTTAAATCGCAGTAGCATTTTGTAACACTTTGAACCATCGAAATGTTAGTATATATGATTGGTGTAACTTTTAGATACATTCATTAGCGTAAAAATGCAAGGTGTGAAAGTAAGTAATAAATATAATTTTTATAGTATTAAATCAAATTGATTGATTAAAACAAATAATAAAAAAATATCACCTCACCTTGTGATAGTTGTCACCCTCGCACGCACCCCTCTGCTGCAGCGTCACAATTACAAAAAACATATACTGATCAGTTGTAATATAAATTAAATATCAATAAATTTATTTTGTAATTTTGAAATATCATATTTTACATAAAAATTTAGATATTAATGGTCAAAGTGTTACATTGAAGATCTTGAAAAGCCAAATATACAAGAAGATAAGAGACGAATGGAGTACTATGTTTATTAAAATGCATTTATCTAGGCACTCTAAACTCAATATAATTAAATAGAAACGCTAATGTATATAATTATTATTAAAATCATTTCATCATATTTTCCTTCTTATTGTGAACCTTCAAAATTTTACGGGGTATTTCAATTTATTCATTCATTGTATTAATATGCAATGCAAATTGAAGAATAATTAATAATTAAAGTTTGTCTACTTTTATTCGAAAAAGTCTAATATATCAAACACGTATTCAATTAAGTAAAAAAAGATACGGAGTATTTTGAAATAAGAAAGATATAATATGAAATACTCCCTCTGTCCCTCTGTCTCTCATAGATCCTCCCATTACCCTTTTAAGGTCCAAAATACCACAACTACCCCAATTCCTTTCTTTATAACACCTCACTCAACTCATTTATTATACTCTACTGTTTTCATTAAAAGTATTTTGGTAAGCTTTTACCTTTTTTTCAACTCTCCTTAAAAATAACAAAAAGTCCAAACCAAAACATCTTAGGTGACTAAGGGAGTATATCATAACAATATAAATATAATATTTCGATTTTGAAATACATTACCATTATATTCTACTTAAAAAGATGTTTTCCCTTTTGGACTTTTTTTTACCAGGGGCACACAATATTTTTCACTGCGGCACTTTTGATTTACTGAATAAAATTTGTTTTGTTTAACACTTTATATTGACAAAAATTGACTAGGCAAGTGACCCCCATAAACCCTACATAGATCCACCCCTGGTGAGAAGTACTCAAGTATCAATTGGTTGATGGGACTGTGTTAAATTTGAGGCAAGACATATGTAGATAAAAAAGAATTTGGGTAAATGATTAGACAATACATGAAGTTGCTGTGATAAAAGTTTTGATATTTTCTATTTTATTTAGTTGGAAAATACAAAGATTTCCATCATCTTATCATATTTGATGAAGCCAAAGATTCACTGTTTTTGTTTTGTTTTGGGGTATCATGGAATAAAGGAAAATGGCTCTTTAAGCGGTGTGCACTTTACTTTCGCTCATCATGGGTAATCCGAAAAACAGCCGCTCTATGTTTTAAACATAGGGGTCGGGCTGAGTACGTGATTATCAATGGTGCTTGAGCCGGGGGTCTCTTTGGAAAGAGACTATTTACTTTCGAGTAGGGGTACGATTTGCGCACACACACCTTCCCCGCACCCTATTTTTCTATTTGCAATTGATTTCATAATTGATTAGAAAAAAATTCTTCTCAAATACATTTGTTTTAGATTTCAGAGTCCTTTTTTTCAAACTTCAGAACATATCATTCCTTCAAACTTATCAAAAGGATGCTTAAAGGAATAAAAAGGAAGAGTAAAGGAGAAGAGCACGAAAGATACAACAAACGTAGTAAAACCTAAACAATGGTAGGGTCTGATTTAGATACCTGGTTTGCTGGGATTTTGATCATCAAAAATAATACACTCATGAACTTGGTAACTATAAACCCCTCCAGGAAAGCACCAAGCATAAGGCATTAGCCCGGAATTTATTTCTGAGTTATTGTCTCACCTATATGGGGCCACACAGACCAAACTCACACAGTTTAATATTCATGTCCTGCACAAACATGATAATGCTTGAAAATACATTTCCATTAGAAAAAAAGGTCACTATAATCGAAAAATATGTGTGTTTTCAATCACCTTGTCAACTAGTATGTTCTGTGGATCATTACTTCCAACAGTCTTGCCCATTCGGAGAAAATACTCCATCAAAGAAGCAATATTGTAAGCCACCTCATTTCTCGCCTCCCAAGTAAACATTAAATCTCTAGTGGTAATTAATGGGATAGCGCCCACATTTCTGTCAAAATCGCTAATAATTGCACATCATAGCATGTTAATTAAAAGATGGAACGAAAACAATTACCAAGGTGAGAGAGAAAATGATGCAGGATCCAACTGGGTTCTTGTTGATAGACAAGAGAAACATCTCTTCCCACAACTAAAGCCAACTCATCGTAGTAATCAATCTTCTTATTCAATAAGATTTCATATTTTGGATGTGCCTCTACAAATATGTATAAACTTTCAAACAAGACTGTACATATAGAGGAACATTGCAGCAAACACAAAATGCAACAAAAACATAAAATGTTACCGTGACAGTTTCTTCATAAGTAGATCGATCACACGTGATCATCTTTATATTGTCATCCCACCCAAAGCCAATCTTTTCTCGCAGCATGCATATTGTCGTCCAAGTGCCTTTCACGATTTTCAAGTGATTCTCCACATGCTTGTGCTCACATTGCACTTTGAACATTTCAGATATGGTAGAGGCTACTCGGGTCAAGGATGAAGACCTAAAAGAGGATGTAGGGTTATTTGGATTCTTAGCTTCCTCTGCTAGAATATCAAGAAACACACGCTCCATTTGCTTAGACCATCTGAATTGCTTAGAAGTCGCAACTGCCGTAATTCCCTTACCCATGTTACTACACATAAGTATCATTAAAAACATGATTATAATAGAGCAAATATCATATGCACAGAATATACTCAAATTGATGAGCTTTGTAAACACTACATGTCAATTCAAGTGTTTGTCTTTAGCAAATCAGATTTTTTAACATACAAACATTCCCGAATGTACACTGGAATTTCCAGCAAACTCATTGGTTTTGAGAAGAAATTAACTGTCATGTTTTGAGAACTCAACAAATGCATTTCAAGTCAAAGGATTCAACCACAAATAGCAAAATAAATATCTGTGATTTTGTGAGCCAAACATAATACCATTCTAGGTAAAGAAAGATCCCTGGGAATAGTTTGCATGAGAGCTGTATCATCACGGGTTGATTCAATGGACACGATAGCACAACAATGTATGAAAAGTGAAAACCTTAATTTCCTTGGTTTGTACTATAAATGTCTCAATTCCCTTTAATTAAAACATCAAAGACAAACTAGCAAAGATGCATTGCTATGAAAATACTTTAGGAAAAAACTGTTATGATATCAATGATATGACACTATCAAATACCTCATCTCATGCCAACAATATCTTCAGGACCAAAAGAGGCGAAGGAGAAAACTATTGCCATAAAAAAGAACCAATATTAGCAGTGTCCAAGAAAAAAGTTTAAGTTATTGCCATAAATAAAGAACCAATATCTTCAGTCCGCCAAAATTTGGCTTATAAAAAAATGGCTTCAAAAGGCACAAAATCTCTAATGAAAAACTAATTCTGTAGACCTAAAAATTATATCAAAATCCAGCAATTGAACTTATGAATATCACACAATTGCAAAGAAATGAAACCAGATCTAGCATTCAGAAGCTCAATTGATAGAGAATTAGTGTCAGAATTTGCAACAAAAAGGGAGTAAGGAAGGATTCAATCAATTAGTTGAGAAAAATTCAGGACCAAAAACTACTCAAAGCACAAAAACACACCATTCATATTAACATATACAAAACTAATAAACGAAAAAAAGAAAACAGAGCGAAACAAAGAAACCTGTGGCGGCGCTTTGGTGACGATGGAGACGGGGGCGGCAGGCTCGGAAGTTGTGATGGGGACGAAGGAGATCGGGGATGGCGGCGATAGGGATGGTGACGATCAAGATGGGGACGACGATGAAGACGGTGATGGAAGCCCCGAATAAGATCGAGGGATAAGAGAAGGGGATGCTAGGTTACCAAATCTGTGCCCCAAATATAGCTCACCCATATTTTGGGTTGAACCACATGAGTTATATTTGGATTACACATTTGGTGTGTCCCTAGACATTTGGTATACTCCTACCTATTTTTATGGGAGGAACAGGGAAAATGACTTCCGTAAAAATAGGATAAAGCTATTTATACCACATGTTTTGTACCCCACTTTGTATCCCATAGCTTTACACCAACACTTTGTGTTGGTGTAAAACTAATTTTTGTTAATGTACCAACACTTTGTGTCCGTGTAAATTTTCATTAACGCACCAACACTTGTGTCGTTATAAACCATCAAAATGTTTGTGTATAACTGCGGTGTACAAATGGGGTACAATTTGTGGTGTAAGTGCAGCATAACCCGTAAAAATATGTCAAATTCTGGAAATCATTTTGCTCTTTTCCAAACGCATCCTTGACGTCACTTGCACAAAAGGCGAAATTATCCTTTGTCATAATATCCACATTTTTCATTTCAAAAAAATAGTATCCACATTTTATGGTTTGATCATTTTAAATTGCTCTTCCAGGTAAAAAAAAAACATGTTTTAAAAATCAAATATTTTTTCACTGGATTAATTTTGGTCAAAAATCATTTTTGTTACTCAAGTTTTTTTTAACCTCGATTTTTGGCCGTGGATAAAAACTCTAGCCTTTGGTTTTTGAACAAAACCAACTTACGCGCCCAAACAATAGATTGATTGACCGAACAATCAATTGTCTTTATATTCTTGTCATTCTTACATGCATTTGAAAACATATAAAAAGAAAACACAAGGACTTATTTGACCATAAGGTTATGACATATTTTGTGAATTTTTAGTTGTTGTAAATAAATTTAAAGTTATTTCTACTCTGGTTCGTTTTTATTCCAATAAGATCTATATGATACGTTATACGCACATGGATAGAGAAGAACTTCGAGCGCATTCAAGCTCCAAATGGAAAACTTCGAGCGTTTCCGGACTCCCAGAAGAAAAAAGAGGAAGATATTAGAGAATTATTGATTTCTATTCTTCATTCCGAAAATAGAGGGGGTACATCTCTATTTATAGCTGATAGAGAGAAACTCTACTCAAACACTAACCCTACAATAGCATAACTCTAAACCCTAATCAAAATAAAATACTAACTAGTAAATAACACTAATTAATAATTAACTATTTAATTAATCTAATATATTATCTGTATCACTATATTTTTATACATTTCCGATATCTCTGCAGCATTGCTTTTCTTTTTCTTGGCGGCGAAGTACTACCGATTTTTGCATAATCGGAGAAAGTTTTACCGACTCCATGATAACGTTTATAAAAAGTTTTGATTTCATCAGAAGAAGTTGAAGAAGAAGTCGACATCGAATCTGATAAAAGAGACAACATTGTGGCGAGAAATATTTGAAAGAAATATGAAAAGTGGAGAATCCAAATAATGGATGAGAAGTGTGTGAAAAATATGAGTTGAGTTTTCTCTTCAAATAGTGAAATTAAAAAAATGAATTCTTTTTTAGCTTTAACAGCTAATTTTCAAAAAAAAAAAAAAACTGGTTTGCTGCCAACGGGAAGCAGTGTTCCCTTCCCAATCCCGTCCTTCCTCTTCCTTTCCCGCTCAGCACACTCTTCAGCCTTAAACTGCATTTGGTCCTCTTACTCCTTGGTATTATTATGCAAAACTAGTGCATCACCCGTGCGATGCACGGGAAAGCATAAATCTTCAAATCAAGATGATTACAAAATTTTTAAGTTATTGGTAATTAGTTTTAAATGATATAATATTTTAAAATATACTCCGCAGATAGTAGTAAATTTGATATATAACATTCTTGAATATTAAAAATGCACACACACACACACACATATATATATATATGTTCATATATACAATTATAAATCTTATTACATCTTTCATTTTAAATAATACAAACAATAATATAGAGAGTTTTTAGAACATACTACATTTATTATATTTCCGATGATATGTCAATCAAGGATGTTTTTTTGCTAAATAAAAACATAACTTATCAAAAAATTACAAGAAATATATCTTTCAAAATACGATGCGACTTTTACGTCATAAAATACTTCCTTCGTCTTACAATAGATGCCCTAGTACTTAAATTCACGATAACCAATGTTTATTTGTAATTTCTCATTAGTTATTTGATTAAATAAAATATTATTGTGAACTATTATTTTGTAAAATTTTGACGTACTTTTTATATAAGTAAGTCTTACTTTAATTTTTATTCTATACCAATTCTTATATAAAATAAACTGAAAAAATATGGAATACTTTTTTCGTTTTAAAATAGGAGTATAATTTTAATCGGGAAATGAAAGTATTATTTTTATCGGGAAGGTTCAAGTGACATTGGAGTCAAAATTTGACTCCAAAGTCAAAATCAACTTGTGGGGTGCAATTGAAGGGGGTGGGGGGGTGTGTTCGGGTCGGGGCCGGGTGGGGGGTTTACCAGGGGGTATAAACCGTTAATTTTACGAACGGGACACCGGAGCGCCTCCGGGTCATCCCATGACATTGAGGTTCAATGTCACTTGAACCTTGGTGTATTTTTATTAATAAAATATAGGCACGTGTACGGACATTAAGGGGTTGTTTGTTTCAGCCTCTTAATGGTTCAGATGTCTGAATGGTTCAGCACTTAATGCTTCAGACTATTTGTTTCAGCCTCTTAATGGTTCAGATGTTTGAATGGTTAAGAGATTTGATTCTGAATGGTTAAGTATTATACAGAGTCTGAATGGTTAAGACCTCTTATCTGAATTGATCAGACATTTGCCTCTGAATAGTTAAGCAATATACTAGCTCTTACTGGTTCAGCACTTAATGGTTCAGACCTCTGGTTCAGCACTTACCGATTCAGGAGTTGCCAAACAGCCCCTAAGTATTTGTGTGTGCCTATTTTAGACTTAGTATACATGTGGCGTACCTTAAGTGGTGTTCCCTAGCGGTCCTCATATATTTTTATGCATATGCATGAGAGGCTCGCGGACGACTAAAAGACATTTTTGCATTAACATATGTGCAGTTAAATACCACTATGCTTTATTTTGTTATTACATTGTCACTAAACTTTTTATTACATGTCAAAAATGACATTGTGTTTCCTTTTAACCTAGGTTAAAACAAAAAAATTGCTCCACTAAACTATTTTTTTCAAAAGCATTACATATTTTATTTCTAAATATGAGAGAAGATTTTGTAATTATTTTACTACATTCGCCTCAAGATATTTGTTCACTTTGACCTTTTGAGTCAAACTGGGGGAACTTTGGACATCAATTAATTAAAAATTAAAATGTATATTTCTATTAATTTTATTTCATTATTAAAGTTTGTTTCGTTTAATTTGAAAAAGTCAAACTGGATAAATATATTATTACTCTTATGTCTTTAAGCATTAAGTGATATTTTAAAAATTTTATTTTATCTCATGTTTTTTTCTATAAAAGTTTCCTTCACGTTTTTCAATAAATTTGTATTTTTCGATCCTTGCAATTCACTAAAATTGTCATTACTGTCATTTTAACATGTGCACCACATAAATTTTGATTATCATATAAATAAAAATTGAATTGTAAATATGTTCACAAAATTTATAAAAATTTATTTTATTCTATTAATATGTTCTACAATTTTATATACTTAATGATTAAAATTCATCTAGTTTGATTCAAAAAAGTCAGAGTGGGAAAATATTTTAGAAAAGTGAGAATATTATCACTTTATTTTTAATGATTTGTTAGTCAATTCGTTATTTAATAATAAAAAGAAATATCAAATGAAGATAATATCATGCATAACAATTTCTGTTTTAAAAAATTGAGTTTTTAATAAAATTGAAGAGAAACAACTTTATTGGGAAAGAGAAAGACATTCAATAAAAAATAAAAAAAAGTGATTGGTGTAATTTTTTTAAAAAAATGCAAGGAGTGGAATTTCTATCAAAAAATAGTTTAGTTGCTTATTTCTTTTTATTTAAATTTGTACAAAAAGGTTAAGACAATGGTATTTTTAACACGTGTTAAAAAGTTAAGTGATACGGAGTAGTTTAGTAACAAAAAGAAAGATGGTGCCATTTTTGACAAAATATAATAGTTTTGTGGCATTTTTTTAATTGCACTCAAATACTAAGAGCATTAGCAACTTTGCAAATAGCTAATTTGGAAGCCAACTTTATAAATGATAGCAACAAACTAAAATGAATAAAGCTAGGGTGCCTCAAATGGATGCCCCTATGTCCCCATCAACTGAAATAGTGTTCTTAAAAATCAGGTCGGGTGTCGACATGGGCGAGGAGTGGGTCAGAGTTAGCGGTCGAATTGCTCAATCCGGGAGTCAACGATCCAATCAACCAAGAGTCAACAAACCGATCAACACCCATTGTCCAAAATTAAAATTAAGATGTGTGGAATATATTATATTCAAGGTTGGCCTAATTGAGGAGCCTTTCTTTCTCAAAGCCCAAAATGAATATGGGCTCATTTGTTTTGATTATTTAGAAAATATAAATGATATTAAAACCCACTTTTCTTGAAGCTTATGATTACACTCTGCGGCCCTAAGCCAGTCTTGGGTGTGCGGCAGATCAAGCCCCCCATTTTAGAGAGGCTCCATATTTTTAAAATTGTAGTAGTTTACTGTTAACCCAATATGCAATGGCCTTTGACCCATTTATTGATTATTGAAAAGCCGAATAAGGAGTACTACGTGGGATTATAGGAGGCCTGCTGGATTATACTTCATCCGTCCCACAAAAAAGTTCTCATTTTAACTATAAATTAGTCAAACTGTTGCACATTTTGACCTTCAATTAAATATAATTTAAATAAAGAAATGCTAAAAAAATTTGAGATATCAAAACTAGATCCTAAGATGAATCCAATTATATAAAATTTATTTCATAATTCAATATACATTTCTCACAATTTGTAGTCAAAGCGTGTAAATATTTGACTAAATACTATTTAAAATGGGAGCTTTTTTGTGGGACGGAGGGAGTATGAGATAGGGGTGAGCAAATTAGCCGAACCAATCGTGGAGCCAAAAACCAAAAACTGAAGTAACTGTTAAATTGGTTTTGGTTTCGGTTTCGATTTTCCATGATAAAAAGTTCAATTATTTCGAATATTTCGATTTTGTGTTGGTTCTGGTTATCGGTTTGGATTCACTAGGTCAGGCAGATCTGACAAGTTTAGACTGAGAAATGCCACCGGTTCACGATTCGACCGGTCCGATTTGGGCTTCAAAACACCGTAAAAAACTCTTTATAATATTACAAACGTAAGAACAATTTACCTTAGTAGTACTAAAAACTAGTGATTTTCTCAATGTATAGTAATACCATACATTTGTATTTAATTTCCCAATGTAGTATCATTGTTCAATATCCACCGGTCATTGTTCAAGTAAATGTCAACCGTCACTGATAGTGTAAATATAACCGGGTAGATTGACCGGGTATGACTTGGACACACCCTACTCGTAGTAAACACACACAATCAGAACACAAAGTATGACCTAGACCGGGTAAAACTCCTCAGTCCGAATTATATTTTTTATCATGTCTCCCCTGGCAGTGATCTGAACTTGAAACGCTAGGCTTCATGGAAGACCACACCATCACAGGAGGGGAGATGCTTATCGATGAAATGGAAGAATACAATATGAAGAAGAAAGATGAATTTCTGGAAAAATTAAATGCTTTGAGTCCTCACAATCTCCTCGATGGCCAGGGGATAGTTCTCCTTGTAAATGCATTGCTTGTTGTGTTATTCTGGGTTTAATGTCTGATTTGTTTAACGTATTTAATGTCTGATTTGTTTTCCATTCACCAGTCTTCTCAAAGGAATTGATCTGAGTTCGACCGTGAAACCCTTCAACTATTCCGAGTTGGCACCACTCACTCATCACGTTGGCTGGCGATCATCACGTCTGATTTGTTTGGCAGACTTCTTCAGGCTGAAGGCATCTTAGTCAAAACCTAATTTTTCCTACCCGTCAAATAAGTGAATTGCATTCCAAAAGCCTGAGAGTAAGTCCTTCCCCTTTTGGTGGAATCTAATAGATAGTATAACAATTCATGTCATTTATTGTATTTGTTTCAGAATGAGATTATGATATTAACTACCATGGATCACCAAATGCCTGCCAAAACTACGGGGATACTCCATTACAAATGGTTTATTCTTGTCTATCAACAAGAACCCAGTTGGACCCTGCATCATTTTCTCTCTTGCCCTGGTAATTGATCTCATTCAGTCTTTAATTAACGGGCTATGATGTGCAATTATTAGCGATTTTGACAGAGATGTGGATGCTATCCCATTAATTACCATGAGGCCCCGTTTGGTACACGGAATTCAAACTATGGAATTGGAATTGAGGACTTCAATTCCAATTCTGGTGTTTGGTAACACAAAAATTATGTGGATTTGGAATTGACAATGCAAAAAATGAATTGAAATTGACAGAATTCAATTCTATAGAATTGAATCCCATGGAATTTCAATTCCAATTCAATTCCAATTCCATCAATTCCGTATACCAAACGGACCCTGACAGATTTTATGTTTACTTGGGTGGAGAGAATTGAGATGGCTTCAAAGTTTACCAAAATACCCTTTATGAAAAATGGTGGAGTATATTAAATGAGGTGGGTGAGGTGTAATAAAGAAAGGAAATTAGATAGTTGTGGTATTTTGAATGTTAGAAAAGGTAATGGGAAGATCTATGGGAGATAGAGGAAGTATTTCATACCCCGGAAGTATTTCATAGCCCTTATTTTGGAACGGAGGGAGGATAATCCCAACTCTGGGGTCTGGTTGATATCAATACTGATTGTTTTTTAATCAGCGAAATATGAAAATGAACACGAGCATTTGGAATCTAAAGAATTTCAAGAGAACAAACATTCTGGCTTTGCTTGTGAGCTAATGTTCTTCTCTAGTCTTTTGGAATTTGCTTTGGCATAATTTACTTGCCCATACATTTTGTAGTGTTTTGCAGTATTTGAAGAACTTCAGACCTGCTTTGGTTGCTAGAGCTGGCAAGTACAGAGCTTGAGCACAGTGTTAAGAGCACAAGATTTGGTTAATTGAAGGGTTGGGCTATGCAGCAACTTGCTAATAAACGCGAGAAGAATCTCGTGGACAAATGCCTCACCGAAGACAGCGGTGTTGGTGTTAAAGCTACGAGAATAGTGATGGCTTGTTTGAACGAATGTCCAGCCGAGCGTCCGGAGGCAAAATGTCTCCTCAGGGCATTCGAGGGTTTGAAGGGAGAAAAGAATGGAGCTGCCCAGAAACAGAGCGGTTTGGAGCATGAGGCGTCCTCGGCCTAGGGAAGAGGCCGATGAATGAAGAGTGTATTGAAAGGATGAACTTCATCCCTAAAAGTCACTCAGAACCGGTTGGACAATCACATGAAAAGAGGTAAATTCATAGGCTGGTGGCAAATAGTAGTTGCAGGGTCAGCCGAAGAGTCTCTTTTGGCTTATTAGCGGGGCTTGAGATGTACTCCGGTTATCCCAAATTAAATTGTCTGTTTATTATTTACAAGGTCAAACTTTATTCACTTTTTTTCTCTATTTTCGTTAGTCATTTGATAAAATAATATAGTCATATCACCACAAGTTTTTTAGATCTTATTATGTAGTTTTTAAATATGTAAATTATATTTTTTAATTCTACATAGTTTTTATATTAAATAATTTGAAAATAACTTTAGTCAAACATCGTAAACAAAAATAGACGGTTTAACTTGAGACGGAGGGAGTAATAGAAGTAGTATACTCTATTCGCCTGGAGTATATGTCCGTTTTTTTACTTTTTCCGGTCAACATTTGTTAACTTTAACCTAAAATTTAATAAAAATGATACTCCCTCCGTCCTATATCTTTCTTTCCAGAGCACTATTACAACTTCATGGAAATTTATATTTATTTGTGTTTTTTCATGACCTATATGATAAAATAAAATATTCTTGTCACCACTTGTTTTGTTGAACTTTTGATATAGTTTTTAAATATGTATGTTTTATTTTTTTATTTCTATACCAATATTTAAATAAAATAAATTCAAAAAACTTGGGATTTTTCTTCGTTTTGCGCAACGGGAAGAAAGATATAGGACGGAGGGAGTACTTTTTAATTAAATATTTTAATATAAATTAATTTTAAAATATAATTTTTTTAATTAATTTATAATATATATTTTATTCAATTATAGGTCAAAAATTAAAAAGAACAAACTCAAAAAAGTCAAAATCAGACGAATATTTAGAGACAGAGTTAGTAGTATTTATTATAGCATGGCGTGCTGAGGTGGGTGTTGAGAGTGACTGAATTATTTCATTGTGGAAAATGTATTGGAAATGGGGAAAATAATCTGTGAAAAATGACTTTTGAAAAATGATTAATTTTCTTGAAGTCATTTTCTTTTTTCTGGTGTTTGGTCAAAGGATTGAAGACTGTTTGTTCTTATTTGGCTTATTTATGGAAAATGAATGTCCAAAATAATACGGAGTAGCATCCAATGCGCATTTTTTAGTATCACCACAATTTATGTGTATAAAATCAAATTTCTACTACTTAAGATTATGCAATGAAAAGAACATATCATCAAAAATAAAATTCTTATAGTAATTATCTTTTCCAATCCTAAAATATTCCCTCTATCCACAAATAAACTTTCCGTTACGTGTTATGATATTTGAGTGAAGATATTTTCAAATCATTTTATATGGAAAATGGTGTAAAATTTAAAAATGAAAAATTACATATTAAAAAACTATATCAAAAAGTCTACAAAACTAGAGGTGACATTACTATATTATTTTCTCAAATGGGTGGCAAAAATAGGCTAACAAAGTGAATAAAGTTTGACCATATGAATAGTGAGCGACAAGTTTATTTGTTGACGGAGGGAGTATATAAATTGAGAATAATGTTTAGTTTAGTATATCGACTAATAATCGTTATAATGATGTTAAAAATTATACTGACCTGATTCTTACCTCGACTAATAATCATTAAAATGTTCAGTTCAGTACCCCCGACTAATAATCGTTAAAAGATCAGTTTGAAAATTTTGAAAACACATAGATTTACTCGATAATTTATGAAAAAAACCAAAAAAAGATAAACTAGTGATCATTGTGTAGTTGGTAAAGGCATAAAGTGGCAAAGGGGTAGATCTGAGTTTGATTTTTAGCAATTGCGCTTAAAAGTAAGAGCATCTCCAATCATGTTAAAAAGACTTGCTATATGCTAGAATTTGACAAACTAAGTAAAATTTCATACTCCAAGGGGCTTGCTAATGTTTGACAAGCTTGCTTAAAAATGAAAATGGCTTGCTACTAATAACAAACTTGATAAAATATAGCAAGCCAAAAAGAAGAAGAAAAATGTTGGTTGGGTTAGTTTTTTCATGTACCATGACACATTTGTTCCCTCACTTTCAATACCACAACGCAAGAAAAATTAATAAATATTATTTTATGTTTTTTACAAAAAAAATAATTTTATTTTTTACCAAAAATATTATAAAATTTATTTTGTTTTAAGTTTAAATTGCATACTTGTAGAATATTAATTAATTTTTATAATAAAATTTTAAAATCATAATAAATAATGTACTTTAATAGTGAAATCAATACATTTTTGCTAATTTATAGCAAGCAAAGGTTTGAGATGATCATGTGAAATGACTTGTTATACCACTATTCACATGTTAATAAATAACTTTAGCAAGCTATGTTTAGCAAGCATGATTGGAGATGCTCTAACTATGTTAAGCAGATCTATGCAAGTACGAGGTGCATGTTTCTGCCAATTAAAATCCAATTTAGTATGTGAGTAACGGTGTAGCAACATCGCAATGATTGCTGCAAGTGCATTCATTGATTTAGGGTCTGTTTGAGATTAACATTGTCGTTTTGAAAAACTTATTTACGGACAGCGTTTAGTGTTAGTTTTTTCAAAATATTCTGCAAGATTAAAGTTTTTTCCAAACTCCTAAAACTAATTTGTAAAGGTCAAACATACCCCCTCAATCCAGGAACCCTAGCTGGACCGTGAGAGAAAGAGAAAGTTGGATTTCGCCGGCCTGAGAATAGGAAATCCTAGTCCCACGACGGCACGATGCATCTCCATGAAATTCAGACTCCGTGATCAGGTATGGATCCCTGTCCGCTCACCGCACTGTACGTTATATGATCATAAAACTATGCTATTTTAAGACGATGAAGCTGATGATCGATCACTTTGAAAAAGAACAATAACAAGATGAATCTTCTTTTGATATACTCCGTATTGTTATTGCATTTCTTAGATTGATAATTGTATTAACCAATTTTGAATTTACAATATTTCAGCAAAAACCGATGGACCTAATTGCGAGATTCTCTAATCTACTCCGCCATACTGATAGGTTCCTTGCAAAATTTGTCAAGCCATGTCGTGAGTTGTTGATTCTTTTAAATTTGTACTCATTGTGTTGTGGTTTGATATTTTATGCTATAAATATTACTCTATATGAAATGCAGCAGTGAGTGTAGATCACGACTTAATGAAGTCTTTTTTGGAAGACTATACAGCTCATGGCATGACTTTACCGAGTTTGCGAGGGGGGGTTATGGTAAAGTATATAAACTTATAATATCTGAAGAGAATCCTTTGGGTTTACCTCATGGGATTTATGCGTTGAAAACGAATTTGGACAATAAAGGACATGGGGAAATATTGGTAATCTTCCTATTTGTATATAATACAAAGTGTATTTTTCTTGTCTGTGAAACGGGCTAATTGTTTGACATTCATTTTGCAGAATGAAGTTAGTAATCTGAGGGTATTAAAATACCCTAACATCATAAGATTGTTTGCATCCTCTTACGATCCTTACAGTGCGTATCTCATCATGCCCTTTCACAGAGTTCAACTCCAGCAACTTGTTGATGGTAAGTATATATTTTTTAGATTTCAAAACTTTCAAGTGTTGATTGTGTGCATTGTTTGCTGGTACTTCATTTGTGGATGTATTGAAGGGTTCTCATCATTTGCTTTTGAAGTATAATAGTTTTCAAGGGACTTTTTAGTTGGAGGCGAATGGACCCCAGCCTTTTTTCAGCTTTTGTTAAAGCATTTGCAGAATTTCCTTGGGAGTTTGGGGGGTGGGTGAAGGAAGTATTGCTTGTTTGTTTGTTTGTTTTTCTTTTTTCGAAAGAAAGTATTGTTTGTTACGTTTGGTAAGCCACCTGATCCTCATTGGCTTTTGCGGCCGTAAAAACCAAATTAACCCCAGTGGCAGTGTGTTTATCTTCAGTTTGGCATGGGCAAGAATGGCCTTTTGAACTATTTTAGATTCATTCTTGTCACTGGAATCTTTGGGGCAGTATTCAGCAATTGTAGAGGCATCTTTAGAAGCAGCATTCACCTGCTATATCATATGGGAATAAATTTTTTCATCCACAGGTTCTGAGTCACCAAAGCCATGTTTAGACACATGAGCAGCAACAGTAGGCTTAGGCCTAGTGACCTTCAGCCCACCCCCCCACTTTCAGTAACATTAGATGCATGAAACAGTGCAGGGCATTCTTCAAAACATTTGTGGGACTGGCAATAGCAGTAGGTTGTCTAGTTGTAGCTAGCGTGAACCTCTTCTTTACCTTCCCTCCTCCATCTTGAGGATGGCCAGTTCTTGTGGCCATACTTCCTACAAGAAGTGCAAAAACTAGGCAAATCCTTGTAATAGATTGGTTGAAGCTAAGAAAGCCTCCCTAGGTGCAACCTGAAAGACTTGGAGAGTTCTTTTCATAGGCCCACCTCAACACACACCCTAGCAAAAAAGGTGGTGGAGTGAGTTGAGAAGTGGCACTATCCATTTTAAGAGGTTGTCCGATTAAATTAGCTATAGTCGACAAAGCTTTTGGTTCATTGAGAGGTATAACATAATCTAATATGGTTTCATGCAGAAAGTAGATTGAATTGGAGGCAGACATTAGTGATTCTAAAGTCCATGACGTATGTGTTTCATTGCATCTCATCACATGATGATCGACTCCGAACGGTTCATGGTGATTTCAAACATAATAATGTGTTGGTTGATGAGGTAAAAAGAGGCTCGTAGTTCTATATAATTTAATTAATTGTTTATGTCATTAATTATGGTGGTTTGACATGTAGGGCACGAATACTGTGTTAATAGACTTTGGAGCCGCACGCCCAGAGGGTGAATTTTTATACTTGGGTGAAAGTGTGTTTGCCCGGCCTTTACCCTGTGAGTATTTTTATTTATTTATTTCCATATTTATAATTAAGTAAACAAAGCAACTATTTCTCATTTCTCTCTTTTTTTTTTCTATAGCTGCTTTTTTTTTGGGTGCGCGCGGGCCCTCACCGTATTAAATGTGTTCATAGAAGGGATGACATATACGCCATTGTGGTGAGTATTCTTCATTTTTGGGGCAACTAAACAGTATTTTAGGTTTGGGGGGACGGGGGTGGTTGGTGGTCAACAAGCATGAGTTGTAGCAAAAATTAAAACAACCTCCCCAATAACAATTTAGAGTACGGAAGTCAGATTAAAAGAACACAAACTAAGGTGAGATGTAGGTAATCATTATCATTGGGTGGCACTCTCGATCAACGAGTTTAAATCATCTGCAACTTGGTAGGAATACGGACATTCCTTCTCTTCATCCACTGAGAGTCCTACACACGCTAGTGCCATGTCTAGAAGCTTGCTTCTATCTTCTTTTTTAGATTCATTGTCATGTACTAGACGCGGGATAAAGATAAATAGTAGCAGGTAGGTGCTAAAAGGTCAGTGCTGGTAAAGAGAGTTAAAACGTCAGCATTGGAGTTTTAATTAATGCTGACGTTTTAACTCTCTTTACCAGCACTGACCTTTTAGCACCTACCTGCTACTATTTTAGAAATAGGGCCGTCTAGTACATGACAATGAATCTAAAAAAGAAGATAGAAGCAAGCTTCTAGACATGGCACTAGCGTGTGTAGGACTCTCAGTGGATGAAGAGAAGGAATGTCCGTATTCCTACCAAGTTGCAGATGATTTAAACTCGTTGATCGAGAGTGCCACCCAATGATAATGATTACCTGCATCTCACCTTAGTTTGTTAATCTGACTTCCGTACTCTAAATTGTTTTTGCGGAGGATGTTTTGATTTTTGCTACAACTCATGCGTGTTGACCACCACCCACCCCCGTCCCTCCAAACCTAAAATACTGTTTAGTTGCTTCAAAAATGAAGAATGCTCACCCCAATGGCGTATATGTCATCCCTTCTATGAACACATTTCATACGGTGAGGGCCCGCGCGCACCCCAAAAAAAGCAGCTATAGAAAAAAAAAGAGAAATGAGAAATAGTTGCTTTGTTTGCTTAACTATAAATATGGAAATAAATAAATAAAAATACTCACAGGGTAAAGGCCGGGCAAACACACTTTCACCTAAGTATAAAAATTCACCCTCAGGGCGTGCGGCTCCAAAGTCTATTAACACAGTATTCGTGCCCTACATGTCAAACCACCATAATTAATGACATAAACAATTGATTAAAATATATAGAACTACGAGCCTCTTTTTACCTCATCAACCAACACATTATTATGTTTGAAATCACCTAACCTCCCTCCTCCTCGTATATATATCATGGGCATGCAGCAAGGCCAAACCAAAAACCAATCTAATAAAATCTTCTTAATATATATCCCAAGAGACACAAGCCAGCCAGGCTGCAGCCATGACGTGGTTCACCGAACTCGAGGAGGTGGCGTACTCCGTAGTGGAATACATTCCTTTGGTCGGCACTGTATACTCTCTCAAACGAGCCGGCATCGCCTACACCGAGCGCGACTGGCTGAACCACTGGCAGTCCTTCGGCAACTTGCTCGAGAGCTCCGTTCGCGACATCGTCCTCTATCTTCGCCGAGTACTCCGAGCCCGCCACGACGGTGGTCCTGCACACCATGGCCGAGTCGTTCACCGACAAGATGGTCGACATCTACCACCGCGACCACCCCAGAGTCGAAGTCAAAAGCGCGCTGGACAAGGGAAGCGGCCATGTCCTCGTCACGGAGTCGTGGGAGGGCAAGAACAGGGACCTAATCTTCAGTGGCAAAGCCAAGGGTGTCCACCACTTTCACTGTACTGTCTTCACAGGTACAATCTAATTTGCGGGATACGTATTACTTTGTACATTTTTAAATGAAATATTTGCACTAAATAACACTAAAATTTAAGATATTTCTCTAAATAATACTTTAATTGTTTTATTTCTTAAATAGCACTTAATAATGACTATAATGTTCACTGATGACGAATATATACTTGAATAATAATGACTAATGGATAATGACTATTGATCAAAAGTGCCTTGGAAAAAACACATGTGATGCTATTTAGGAAAAATCGTTATGTTTTGGTGCTATTTAAGTAAATTTCCCTTTGTAAATCTGATTAAATCAAATTTCATATATCGATAAATTACGTTCATCTGGCTTTACTCACTAGCTCATAGACTAACTCTAATTCGTACGTTGGTCGAATGAGTTTCATTATGTGAAACGAATCTTCAAAGCGAGTAAATGATCAGTTGAACATAGTTATAAGTTGAACCATGTTACCTTTGTCTAGTTGAAATTGAACTCAGTTTGTTAAATTTATATTATAATAACTAAAAAAATTTTTAATTTATGGTTAAAGAGTATCCCGGTTTGATCCGAAAAAATCAAAATTGTCCCTCTTTTTAGGACAGAGGGACCGAAATACAGCCTCTATTTGATATTTGTGATGAATAAAACTTTTTTGGTTTGCATAAAATTTTACAGGTACGCTCACGCATCCCGAATATGCCCCGAATGGCCGGGGAGATTATCAAGCTTCATATCCGGAGGGGATTGTGCAACGGGGCACGCGTCACCTTTTCGTGGAGATGGACTCAAGATTGGGATGGAGCAAGGAATAGGCCCCCAGACCCCTTTCGATCAGGAGCTTCTTCTCTACGTACTAAGAACAAATAATTCCGCAATAAATGCGGAGTAAATAAACAGTGGGTCGGAGTACAGTCTGACTCAGTCCTTGCTCAAGCTAGCCTACTTAGCTTGGAGCCTGGTTTGCTTTAAACTTTTTCATTATATTTTTTTATTTTCCCTTGGATGGTTGGGGACTTGGGGTGCATTGAATCACTACAAGAAAATAAGGATACAAGGACACTAATTAAGGACACTCAATTTAGAATGTGTCATTAAAACTTTTTTAAGACACCTATGATTAAAATACAAATTTATACGGAGTAAATTTTATGTGTCCTGGAGCACCTTCAAATATCGTAAAGATTATAGGGAGTATGAAAATGAAGTCTACACCACATCTCTCTCTAGGGTTTCTATCCGCCGATTTAGATCTGATAATTGGCTTCTTCGTCTAATTTGCCGTCTTCTCTGGCCTCTTACAATTCATTCGCCAAGGTGCTTTCTAGTAAGAATGTCTGGTTACCCTCCGAAACTCCATGGCTGGCTTAGTCATAGGTAACTCCTTAATCTATTTTACCGAGGAAGAAATTAGGGTTCTTGCCTACCGTTTTGATAGCTCTTTTGTGGGTCGGTGTACTGATGGAAGATTAAATATGGTCTTTATCCATAAATCCCTAAATGCAATTGGTTTTAAAGCAGATTTTTCACTTGTCAACTAGACGATGCTCACACACTAATTACTTTCTCCTGATGAGATGATTTTCTTAGATGTCTGATTAAGAACACCTAGTCTATTCTCTACTTTCAACTATAAAATTTGTTTCCAATCTAGATTAGACTTGGGGATTTCCGATTCGAACACCTTTGACGGTAAGTGCATCAACTCTTTCCTTGGCCAGACCTTCTCTAAGTTGCATATGTGTGGAAGTTAATTCATCTCGAGATCTTCCAAAATTTGTATGTATTAATCCTTTTAAAAATGGATCAATTATTAATCACTTCTGGATTTTTTTCTTTTTGTGCAGATTAAATGGACACTCTAATACCCACTGTAAATGTAAGTTTCCTCCTAAAGGGTGGATCTCCGAAATGGGTCAGGAATGGGCTTACTGCCCCTACTCCAGGCATAATGAAGAAAATCTAACCCCATTAGGAGCAGGAAACTACTAATACAAATGGTATTGGGGATGTTGTTCCTCAATTTATAAATCCTTCTTTGGATCCTGTTATGCCACCCCCTTTTACTGATGCTACTATGAATCCAGTAGCTACAGGTGTGGAGTTGCCTTCGATTCTTTTCAAAATGTAGGCCCTACCTACAGTTTTGTTTATGCAAAATGAAACGATTACACTTTTTCTGATCCTCCTATAGCTAAACTAAGTAATGCCTTGCTACAAGATAATGAAGTTTACTAACTACAGATTGTAGTGATAAAGTACATTGGTCTTCGTCTTGACCCTTGAGAAGAAGTTGAACTAGTTGTTGCTCAAACGACTAATGCCACTCCATCAAAGAATAACCTTATTATTTGGCCAAAGGATTCTTCCCCTACAAAAGTCCTCTACATTTGGAAGTGATGATATTACTACCAGAATTTGATATCTGCATTGGTCGATTCTTTCTTTTGGTATCTTTATGTTTTGTAATTTTGTTGTTTAAACATTACTCCATATATTATTCATAGAACTTATGTTTCTAAAAACATTTCCCTTATGAAAGCTTTTTCTTCTACATTTTGTTTAGTCATTTTAGTGTTTTGGCAGATTCTTATAATGTTTTAGTCATTTTAGAAATCTGAATGGTATCTACTTAATGGTATCTTTTTTACCTTTCAGGTATAATACAATGATTCAGAATTTGATCAAGGAAGGAAAGATTGTACCCTCTGAAGTAATATTATTCTCCTCCAATGTGCAATTCACGAGAAAAGAACAAGTTTCTTATTGATGGCTTCCTTCGAAATAAAGAACATCATGAAGCTTTTGAAGGTGTTGTAAGTTTTCATGTAAATTTTTATGAGGTACTCTTGCATTTATGACTTGCAAATAAATTGAAATTCTACCAGAATTTGTCCTCATCTTTGATTTTTCTAAAGAAGAGGTTGATCGCTTTTTTAGATAGAAGTTTCAGGTCTTTATTTATGAGATCTGTTGTTCCTTTAGTTTCCTTTCGTTTTTATGGTTACAGGATTTTTTTTATACTTTTTGTTACTTTGGGAATTTTTTAATACTTAGTTGCGTAATGGTCTTTCTGTTTGCAGTTCAGATTGCATTGCGAGAATTCAGAGGATGTCCAATTTGCTCAAATCAATTTGTTCACATGACAGACTAGACTTTCTGTTGTTGATGATGATCTGCTAATTGGCATAAACAAATTGTTGACTAGAAATAGAGCTAGTCTGCTGCAAGGGAAGTGCTTAGCTATACATACCAAAGTGGCATATCTAATTTCTTCCAGTAGCTTTGGATCAGGTAGGTATACATACCAATACCTTTGAAGATTTCATCCTGCAAGCATCTTGCCAGTAACCCATATGGCATAGAAATTTAGGTTTGTAATTAGATATTCTTGGGTTGTACTTTTACTTTATACAGTAGGTTTTTTCATCTCTTTAAGAATGTATTGTACAAAGTATTTGTTATGACACAACTTGTATTCTTATAGACAAAAGAGCACATGGATATGTTAATATAGATTTATTTTATTAATTTAAGACTTTGGTAAGCTTCGTAGAGATGCAAAGTGTATGATGGCATAGAAAAAACTCAAAAAAAAAAAGGACAAAAAATAATACTCCCTCCGATCCGGAGTATTCGTCCAGTTTTGACTTTTGGAACTGTTCATCTAAGCACTTTGACTCATCAAATTCTCTCAATGTGTAAGTCTAAATATAGTCATGTGTGATCTTGTTTGATTTTCTTAACATATAGATTATTAATATATAATTTCTATAATTTTTTAATATACAAATTACAAGATAAAATGGATTAAAGAAATGTATTGGATGGTGTGTAAAAATAAAAGTGGATAAATATTTTGGGACGGAGGGAGTATGTTATAAATCTAAGGACACTTTTATGAAGTTCTTAGAATTATAAAAATAGTGTCCTAATTATAAAAAAGGACACGTGACAGATGGTATAAGCACACATTTTAAGTGTTCTCTTATAGATTTAATGACACTTTTTACTTTTTGTAAGTTTTATGTGGGTCCTTGTATAGAAAAGATGATACAATTTACGTGTCCTTGTTTTAGACTTACCATGACACCTTGATAGAGGACACATTCTATATGTGTCCTTGTATGTGAAAGATGACTCTTTTTTAGCGTCATTAAATCCATTTTTTCTTGTAGTGAATATTACTAAATAAATAAAAGCACCACTATGTAAATTCGTATGCAATAGAGCTTGTTATGTTTAATTATTACTTACTACGGAGTACTTAATTTTATTAGAATAAAAAAATAATAGATCAGATGAAAATTAAATTTTAATAGAATCGGATAAAATCTAATAAGATAAACCAAGAGAATAAGCTTGGACTTGGTAATATGACAAGCTTAGAATCGTGCATGGACACTTGCACTGTGTGCTACGACTTTTAGTATTTGCGTGTGTGATTGCTTCTAACTTCTAAGTCCCTTTGTCTCAATTCAAATTAGTCCGTATTTTATATTTTAAGCAAAGTGAAGTAGAAATTCAATTTTTTCATATTATTTGATTTAAAGAATACGGAGTAATATAAAACTAATTAAAAAATAAAATTTACATATCCAAAAATTGCATAAAAACTATGAGAATAAATAAAAGCACCACTATGTAAATTCTCATAATTTTTGAATAGTAAAATGTGAAGATGTTTTTGGGACTGAGGAAGTATTTCATACTATCATCATCTCTATGCATTTTGATGCTTTTTTGGATTAAACTGGAAGAACTTTGAACTTTAGTTAAGTAAATATATACTCCCTCAATCCCCAATTTGATTACAATTTTGATATCTCCCTCCTCTCGATAACTTTTGTTTACGCGATTTCATTACATATTTGACAAAACTTTGATTTTGATATGCATAAAAAGTATATTTGTATTGTCAATCGTTTACTTTTAAAATAGAAATATTTGCAAAATATTAAATTTTTACACAAGGAATCCTCCCCCTCATGGTATACATGTCTAAATTCGATTAACACTGCATTCGTGCCCTGAATTCTATTTAATCATATCTAATGACATAAATCATAGATCTGAATAAATAAAATTACATTTTTAACTCATCTTTTAGAATTTTGTTATGCTTGAAATCACCAGGAATGAATTAATTATTTTTCCTTGACAAATAATGACTACTTTTATGGTTGGACTAAAATGCTTTTGGTTTTCAATTTTTCATAGCACTTCTTTTAATTTCCTTTCACAGCTAGAAGACCAATGGGAACATGGGCTTCACAAACTATGAGAACACATGCAGAAATAGCAACAAGAGACTTTGGCGCATCAATAGCACTGGTAGTATTAGACTTCAATAATGGAGGACCAAACTAGACATACATTGGTAAGTGTGCTACAAATAAGTTAGAGAAAAAAATCAGTTCGGACGCGATTTTCTAAGAAGGCATTTGGTTGTTTCAATTGAAAAAACCCGCTTCTGATGTCATCCAAATCAGTTCCATCGCCACCAAACACCCTCTTAGTGTGAAAACATCGCACGAAATAAATATTTGCACCAACAATGGTTGAATTCAAAGTTTACTTCCGAGGTTGGGTTTTGCTTTCATGTGATGATGAGTTGGTTGTTTTCGTATCCATTGCTATGGGTGGTGGGGCGCAAAGGATCAATCCTCCATTCGCCATCAACAATGAATTTGATCTGCAAAGAAAATGAATTTATGAAATGCTAACTATATAGTACTCCACCCCACCCCCCTAGAAGAAAAAAAATATTACTCCGTATTTTTTTAAAAAAAGGAGCCCGTGTTTTGAACACCTTTTTGTCCCAAAAAAAATAAAGTCATCAAGCAAGGTATCTTTTGTGTAACTTTCAGAAAAGAGTGTGCATCCATTGAAATGGAGCTAAAAGACTCACTATTAACAATGTTTTGGCTCCTGTAAATAATGGGCTAAGTCAAACTAGAATATTAGACTTCCTTTGCTTCTTATTACATCATATGAAATTTTGGGTATGAAATGCAACAATGCATCATGGGTCTAGCGCAACCCGCCACGGGGTTGGGATTATAAAGGTTTTTGTTGTTTTGAAAAGAGTCAAGACAAAACATGGAAAAAAATTATGATCTATGGCAATCATAACTTTCCAATATTAGGAAGTTAGTGTCTTAGTGCCTTATCAAAACAGGACTCTTTTCTTATCCTTTCTTTGGGAGGTGTGTGAGTGTGAGTGTGGAGTATATACATACATATATGCATGCCAGCATGTGTGTGTGTATGTGTGTGTGTGTGTGTGTGTATAATGCCAATTGTTGACATTACTGTACCACTTTTGGAGAAGCAACATACCTCATATCTGCCAGGATAAAGCTTCAAGCGCGCAGAAAAAATACCTGCACTAGATTTCTCCATCTTCCTCTGCAACCAAATGCCAGATATCATGCTAGTATGCTACCAATCAAGCGTAAAACATACTCTCTCTCCAACCATAGAATACAGTTAAAATTTGTAATGCACAGTATGTTTTGGTATAAGAAATATGACTACTTTGGAGACAGAGACAGCATTAGTTAAAGACCATTGGTATACCTTTATCTTTTCTTAGTAAGAGAAAAACAAATCACTTAAACATGAAGGAGCAATCACCTTATAACCCATCAATCTATCTAAAATAAGATATCACCAAATATTTCCTCCAAATCACTTTGCCAGAATTCATGTTTTTTTCCAAAAGTACCTTACATTATTATATTGTTAGTGTGATAGACTGATGGGGGTTTGGTAAAGAGTGAGAAGGATAGAATAAATTTGCATAATTGCATCAAACAAAACCGGCAAAACCATACTGCACACATATTTTATATTTCTCTTTTATTTTCCCCCTAATTTGGATACAACACCTTGTTAAACTAAACATTTAAAAAATGGAAACTACTTTTAGGCAAAAATATCAGAATGAGGTTGCATGAAACAAACAAATAATTTCCCTGACACTCCAAAAGATTGGTGCAGTTCCCCAAATCACAATGGCATCTAGTGTCACCCCACCGCAAGGGAAACAAAAGTAGGTACTCTATCATTCTAGAAAAGACAATTCTTATAAAAAGTTAAAAACTTCAATAAATATGCCAACATCTTTATGTATGCATTACTTAAACACTTGCTAAAGTGTCCTACAATAAAGTTCAAGCCATTATTGTAGGAATCGCCTAGACACCTAAACAATTGACATAAGGTGTGCCTTTGCTGAGGAGAAATGTTATAAACCATGCTTCTTTAGCACTGGGCCAACTAGGTGCCGTATGCACTTGCAAGCACTCCTAGGCACCTTTATTTAGCATTTTATTGATAAAAAAAATTATGAATTTATGCAGTCATGTTTAGGACAATTCCACGAGGGAGCAGTTTTTTTTTGGGGGGGGGGGGCATTGCCGCCAAGTTCCGGAATTCTTTGCATGCTATTTTTTCTATAAATAATTATATGATTGAGTGATTGACTTTTCTGGCCCCACCACAAATTTGAAGTTTTGGAGTTATGACTTGGCTCCTGGTTCAAACCAATGTACTTTGATCAAGGGAAACTAAAAAAAAAGTACAAATAGCATCTGTCAGCTAATTCATGGAATAGGATCATACCTGAGTTGCCCAACCATCAAAGGACCCTGTGATATAAACTTCTGAAGCAGCACTAGGCCAAACTATATGGACATCCCGAATAAATTGTAAAGCTTTATTGGCACTATCAATCCTTTTCTGCTTTGCTTCCACCATCTTTTGTGAATCACTGGAAAGCATGTCATTCATTTAGTAAGTGATGAAGTTTCTTTACAATCCAGAGTACACAGAGAAAAAATGAAGCCCTGCATACCTCATTGCTAAGGTCATTTTGCCCTCAACCACAGCTAGCTTTGCACGCAATGCTCTCAATCTCTCCTGAGCATTCATCAATTCATTCTCCTGGAATTCCAATGCATCAGAAAGCTTCTGCAGTTCACCAGGATAGATTTCTGTAGCCTGTGGAAAATTGCAGGAAACCATTATCACAACCCATAGAAGACAACCTTAGGGTTTTTTCCAGTCAATTTAAAGAAGACTTATGGAAAGTTCAGTTAAAGTTTAGTGCAACATAGCTGATTAAGTATCCAAATGGTAACACGAATTTTATTGGATTAGTTTGCTTAAAGATTACGAAATTATAAACCCATAACTTATAGTTGCCCAATGTATGCTACTTTATCTACATCGACAAATCATACCAAAGATAGTCTCCACAAAAATAAATCAAGAGTCAACTGTGGTGCATAGTTGTTACGGCGACTAGGAGAGGCCAGGCGCCGGAGTATACACACACACACACACATATAGAGTGGTCTGTCTAACCAATTTTAAGTATTCCAAGTAATTTGTTCTCATATAATGAAAACTCAAACTCCCCATTTTCAGATTCTGATGGGTCATTTTGTTTCTCAATGTTGTGACAAGTTGCTAACAAGAAATAAAAGCAATTAGATTCTCTATTAAGGACAGCCGTAAGTCTAGATGAACTTATGAGAAGAAGATGGCAATCCCTAAAACATTGTTAGATCATTAGATGTAGATGGTCTAATAAAAAACTAGAAGAATAAGATATCCCACCTCTCTTGAAGCATGCTCTTCACTTTTAGAGCTTAGCAGCTGAAGAGCTGAAGCAAGTTCAACTTCTAGGTGCTGAAGACGACTTCTTATGTTGTAGTGATTGTTACCATTTTGCCTATGTGAATCATTGGTAACATTTCCTGCAGGAGGACCTATGCCAGTTATTGAAATTCTTCTTTCACCTTCTCTACTTTGACTAAAAGCAATCTCATCAGCTGTACATTATTGGAGAATGGATCAAATCATGGCCAATTGCTCCGTGGGAAATTTATAAATACATTTAAGGCAATCAATGATATCTCAATTGTGAAATTAATGAACCCTCTATGCAGTGATCTGGAGATCGATTAATAAAGACCTTCAAATTCTGTATCTTGATAGCCAGCCCGTTGAATACTCCATGCTCTCCCTGTATCCGGTCTAACTCTCTGAAAGCTATTGATCATTCCAAGGTCAGTCCTGTCTTTTCAACGATGAAATAAGATTAAACTCTCTATGTCCAACAATGAAGTCCATTATCTTTTGGGGCACAAATCAAGAAGTGATTCTTAAGTTAGTTGGAAGTTAAAAACATTAATGTGCATGCATCACAATGATATTTGAGGGACAGATGGAGAAGTTTGAGAAAATGATATTATGGGTGACCATACATCACAATGGACATAAAAAAACAACATTACAACAACAATGTTATGTTGCCTTTATTGGTGCAAATGTGCAATCAGTTCACAGAAAAGGTCCCAAGCTGCTGAAACTCAAAATCAACTACTAAGTCAATGGTAAGATCACTGCAATGAGTGCAATCTTAAGACTTGTGAGTAGATAGATACCTTACATGTTGCCAAAAAAGCCTTCATTTATACCATTAGTAAAGAAAAACATTAACACCAAAGTCACAATAGTTCCTTGGTAACTACAAAAAAATCACTTACCAGAAGCAGTGGCAACAGAGTTCTGGTTCTTTTGGTCATCTGTGCTTGATGCATGATCTCCATTTCTATAATTTGCAATATTGATACCCAGGGAAGAATTCCTCTCCCTTTCTAATCGACTTAGTATCCCCTCGATCCCACTTCCTTCCTCAGATTCAGCTTCTCTGCGCCAAAGATTGAAGAAAAAGGTCAGCGAGTGGTATAATCCTTGAATGAAGAATACTTTCTTTGGTTTTCAATGAGAACTCATTCAATCAGGGAGAAATCATCAATCACTTCTATAATACGGAGTAGCATTTTCACACAAGAAACATTTAAAAATCCAGAATAGGAACCTCACAATAATCTACCAGACGAAGAAGCTGGGTAAGAGACACTCTCAGAAGAGAAATCAAACCCAGTTGACTCCACATCACTGTCTTCAAACACTGCAGTCTCCAATTCCTTGTTTGCAGAATTTGCAGCTCCTCGAGAACTCCTCATTCTCCTTCTCAGCCTCTTGATTTCAAAATCAATGTCCAGCTTCTCGAATTCATTGTCCGATTGTTCTGAATCCCAACCCAGAGCAAACCACCCTCCTCTGACCCTAATGGCATCAACCAAATCGAACCTTCCAGCTTTCTCCAACTCCTTCCTGGTCGGAAACGCCTCGGGATTTCCCGATTTCTCCATGAACTCCAAAACCCTCGCTTCCAGCTCTGCGTCACCTTCACTCGCCATCTCTCCCGCACAACAACGCAAATCGCATCCCCCGATTCTCCCCCTCCCCCTCGCCTCAAGAATTCCGAACACGCCCATCACTTTCCCAACTCCGAGGCGAGCAATACTTTTGGGTTTCGGCGGACAACAGACCTTCAAAGCGGGACTGCACGCGAAAACGAATGGGGAGACGAAGTGGGCGCTCAACTGCGGGGATGGAATGAAAAGATTTTGAATGTGCGAGCCCATCTCTCAGGCATTTCGTCGAACACGGGGACGGCGGCTGTTCCCCTCAGTAACTTTTGCTGAGGTTAGAGGTAAGAAGTTGTCCGTGGACGGGGGAACAACGACCACCGCAGAAAACCATTTTACGGTGGGTAGTTTCGATGACGGCCTGCTGTTCAATTTCTAATCTCTCATTCTTTTGTTCTAATTTTTTTTAGTCTATATTTAGTTTTATACCCGAAGTATTATCAACAACAACAACAACCCAGTTAAATCCCACAAGAGTAGGGTCTGGGGAAGGTGTGTGTACGCAGACCTTGCCCCTACTCGAAAGTAGAGAGGCTGTTTCCAAAGAGACCCCCGGCTCAACGTCGAAAGTTGCATTTCTTGACTAACTGCTACTTCATTAATTAGAGAAGCACAGATAGTTTAGAGATCCATTTTGATTTATTCCATCACACCCCAAAGCCAAAAAATGGTGAAATTTTGGCTCCATCAAATATTAGATTTGTAATCATTCTTTTATAAATATTTTTTCACAAATAGTATTCTATTTGATTTCCAGTTATGTTGATGTTCATTAGAGGAGTAAAAATATAATTTATTGTCATTCACAATTCTAGATGTTGTTTCTGATGCATCGTTTATGAATCACAATCATTGTCTACTAGAATCATGGTTTGCAGTTGTGGATTTTTATCGACATCTTAATCCACGATCATAGTCAATATTATTGTGTTATTTGTCTAACCGATATCTGAATACGTAACTAGACATATGGTTGATGTCAAATTACATTTTTAACCCACAAATTAACGCATGCATGACCAGATGTCAAAAAAATTATTTGTGGGAAGATACCCAAAAAAAGAAAAGATCACGGACGTAATATTTGATAATACATGACTAAATATGAAAAAATCCATGTTATAATTGACCAATTAAGAAAATACTCTCTTAGATATGATGAATTTACAATAACATCAAATATTTAAATTTTGAATATACTACCTCAATCGAGGACAAAGATTGTTTTTTATCTAATAAGTTTTGTTACATATTTATTTGGATGCTTATTTAATTGAATAATTTTATTAACACATTACTTAATTGAAAAATAAGTTTTGTTACATATTTATTTGGATGATTATTTAATTGAATAATTTTATTAACACATTATTTTTCTAACATTTTTTATCTAAAATAAGTTTTGTTACATATTTATTTGGATGATTATTTAATTGAATAATTTTATTAACACATTATTTTTCTAACATTTTCCTAACTTCTTCATGTTTTTTCTAATCCCTCGTTTTTTCATATCCTTCCTATTTCTTTCAACATTTAACTTTATCTTTACAACTCGAACGAACAGAACATTTACGATATTTAGTTGTAAATTACTCTCTCTAAAAAATCTAGCTTTTAAAAAAACTTTTGGGAAAATATGCAGCTCAGCTCGTAATTTTTTTTTTGAAAGATTTAATCATAACTTTTGTAACTTTTTACTGTTTTATAAATTTCATAAAAACCAATCAAAAAATATTTTTTATGTACGGAGGTATTGTATATATACTCCATCCTACGGAGTATCAAATTTTTATTTAATTAATATCTTTCACCTTTTTAATTGGAACATAAATATTTTAGGAATTTTTTTGTAATGTCACCATTTAGATAACTTTGAACTATAGGAGTAGTGGTGAGATCATAATAACTTTTTTCTATATGCTTTTACAAAATTCGAGAATTCAATTAAACATGAAGAAGAATGAAGTGTTTCGGTTAAATATATTTTAAAAACAATTGTGTAGAGACTTGATTGCATACTTTTTTGATCATCTTCATAAGGACGAGGGAGAGACTTCATGAGATCTTTCACACTCTGTGAAATACAAAACTACATTACACTTGGTGGTTATGACAATTTCGATGATTTGTGTGCTAACGTGGAAAAGAAATGCGCCGGCAGTGGTGTTAGAGGAATAAAAGAGTATGATTGTATGTGTGGATCGATGCACCGATTGGATCATTTGACTGTCCACTTAAAGGACCTATGATTTTTACGCAAGTTTGACATTTCAGGTTTGAGTCATCATCTTTTTATCTGCATTGTTGATGATTTGACATATCCGAGCTCATTTTTACACTATAAATGGATGCCTTAGCTAAGATGTGTTTTATTACCTTGCCAAAATGTATTACGGTAATTCGACAACTGACATACGTTGAAAAATTGTATGTCGTTCATGAAACAAGATATAGATTTCCCATCTTTGTTTATAAAAGTAAAAAATGGAAACTTTTTCCGAACAAATTATTAAGAAAATGTGATATTTTTTTGTACGTGAGAGTATTTAAAAATGGAAAGGAAAAAGAAAGGGAGGGGGATCACATTTTGAGGAAATGATGAACCATAAATCTAAGACTAGTTTGATGAGTTTGGAAAATATAATATGATATGACTTTTGAAATATGAGAGAAATAATATAAGATCTGAAATTTGAAATAAAGTCGTTTGAAATAATTTGGAACAATGATTTAACTAACAAATAGCGGTGATGATCCACTATGAGGATAGTTGGCGGTGTCAACGGTAGCCAATGATGGGTGTTGGTTGACAGTTGATAGAGATATCAGATTGATATCTTTTAAATTCAGAAAATAAATTAGAATTGAAATCGATTTAAGCCATGTTTTCATCAATTTATCTTTTTTATTTATTACTTATTTTTATTAAAATCAGATCAAGACAGATCATATTAGATCATAAATAATTTTAAATATTTAGATCTTTGGACGAACAAAAACCCGAAATTGCTTCCCAAACAAGCCCCTAATATAAGTTGTCTTTAAACGCAATGTCGTTTCACCTTTCTATGGTTCTTCCACTTCTTCACTAGAGTAGAATCCCTTCACTTTAAACCCCAATCGCCGTTCCAAAACCCTCATCTGAACAGTGTTATCCATGGCGGCCACCGAGGCATCGGACGTCGGCGATAGACCTGTCCTCAGCGTCATCAACAAGCGCATCCGCGCACTCAAGAAGAAGCTGAACCGCATCTCTCAAATGGAGGAGTCGCTTTCCAAAGGCAAAACCCTAAATAAGGAGCAGGAAGAAACCCTCCGCACCAAGCCTGCAATCCTTGCTGGAATCGACGAGCTAGAGAAGATCCGTCTTCCGATCTCTGCCGCCGTGGAAGAGGAGATCAGCATCTCGGCTCAAAGCCATCAAGCGTCCTCACAGGAGGCCCCGGTGGCTGCCAAGACGAACGAGGAAACTCCGGAAGAGCCCGATAAAGATGTGGAGAGTAAGGGAGAAGATGATAGGTTACTAGTGGCTGAGGATCTGTTGAATCTTATGTATTTTGGCAGCATGTTCGATGTTAAAAACCTGCAGAACCACTTCACAGAGATGATGCTTTCGCGGGAACATGAGAGGGGAAGTTGCCTGTCATATGATTACATGAAAGATGATGATTCCATCGATCTGCTAAATGAGAGGGACTTGGATTTGCTTTCGATGCTAAGTGGGCTGCTAATTTCTCGGCCTGCCAACTCATCTTTGCCTCACAAGAACGCCCTCCAGAGATGTATTGAACATGCCAAACTCTGGCTCGAGAATTCCACGCAGCCAATTGAATCAGACTCTGACGTTACCTGTAAGTAACTGGGTTTTCTTTTTTTGATATTTAGAATTTGTGATTAATCTATAAACCTTATTTATTATTACTGTGTTTTTTAGGCCTTGCCTCTCTACTGATGTTACTATTAATGGCCTTCATTCACAATTTTATTATAGTTGGAGTAACATTGAGCTATAAAAAAATTGTTCCGATAAAGAACATGTATTTCTCTAAATCAACATTGATGTTCTGTTATGTCAGTTCTTACCCATGGTGTATAACCATATTTCATTGTCTACTCTTGATAGATGCTGCATTGAGATCCAAGTTGAACAAGATCATGGCTTCTCAATATTTTGTAGCAGCACCAGTTGGACTGCAAACAGCTGCGATGACTTATGGGTCTTTTCAGGCTCCACTACATGAGCCTGTTCCACCTTTAGATGTGTCTGTGCAGGTGCATGTGGAAGATAATGGAGTGCAATACCAACCAAAGGTTCAATGTTTATTAATGTTTAACTTTGTTTTCTTTTGCAATTCAAAATTGAAACCACTTTTCTACCATGCAATATTATGCTTACTATCAAAGCTTGTTCTGTTCTATAGTTGACGGCTTGACGCACACATTTTCCTTTTTGTTTGCACTCTTGGTTTTGTTAAAAATGAGTGCTTTTGTTCGCTGTGGAAATTATAGCTCACTTGTTTTACGTGAAACTAATATTACTGATTCAATTATACAAATTTAGAGTACGTTGAAATTTGGATGTATTCGGGTCATGCATTTCTTGAAAGGTTGGCCACCTGAACTTATATTTGCACCAATGGTTTTGTACTATGAAGTGGGTTCTTTCTGCATTGAATTTTAAGTGGGTTCTAGTTTTGAAGCGGGATATTTCTATAATGAATTTGAATTTAATGTATACTGGAATAGTTATTTGTTCTTTGGTGGGTATGGTTAAAGATCTACAAAATTACCACTTGGTTTTTTTTCTAGCTTTTGGCATCGAGCTAGACATGCACATTGCTTGACTTTTAATGAAGTATGCCTCAAACAAACGAGTCACATTTTTTACGTAGCTCAATCAGTTGGACACATGAAGTTTCATTTGAACTGCCAACTTATAGGGAGTATTAGTTTTGATAAACGGTATCCATTACAGAATGCCATGCCGGCTTTTCTGCCAGCTGCCATGGGAATTTTGTGAAAAAATGGCGGTGGACTGGTGGCACATGGCAAGATTTTTGTTTTCTCCGTCGATGTGTCATCCTACTTTAATAACGTTGATGATTATGTCCAAGAACTACTGGATACAAAGATGAAACAAAAGGTAAAAATAAAACATAGGCCATAGGCAATGTGTCTCATTGTTCTAGACTTCTAGTTTGATTGTAAGCTTGGGTCTTACTAGTTTGATTACTAACCCTGGTTATTTAAGGTCTTGTTACTTGAGTTTCAAAATTTAAGCAGTTGAAGGCTTCTTTTAGGTTTTTACAGAATGCATTTATAGAGGGTTTTTATAT